GTGCAAAGCGAGCGCTAGGGCAGTGTGCAAAGCGAGCGCTAGGGCAGTGTGCAAAGCGAGCGCTAGGGCAGTGTGCAAAGCGAGCGCTAGGGCAGTGTGCAAAGCGAGCGCTATTGCATCGTCTGTGGATCTGCTGGCCTGTTGGCGAACTGTAATGGGTCTTGTGTAGTGGGTAGTGAGGTTTCCATTTAATTCAATTTTATTTGTATAGCGCAATTACACAACACATCTACATTATCCCTGCCCAAAGCCCCCAGTGAGCAAGCCAGAGGTGACAGTGGCAAGAAAAAACTCCCTAGAATGAAGATACTTTGGGAGGAAGGGCGACGTTGTCGATACATTTGTGTATGCATCCCATTACATAGCCAGTATAGTTGTCATTATTATACGCAGCAATCTGGAAAATTATCCAGTCCGTAATGCTGAAGCAGTGATGCAGGGCGATGTCTGATTGGTTGGTCTAACACTGAACCAATCGCATCACAGGTTGCTCACATTTCAGCCTCTGCCTGTAGACTGGCAGCTTCAGGAGAATTTGATCAGGCATAATGGGACAAGAGGCTTAAATGTTGAAAAAGCCAAGGCCTGTACCTTTGTATATTTTAATATCTGCTTCATTTCATTGTATGGCATTTTATTGTGGGTTTCAGTTTAATGTTTTATTATCACATTTATGTGGAAGACACAGTGAAATTCTTGTGCCACCATTGCAGGGGGGTGGGGGGGGGTGCATGCATGGGGTTATAGAACAAACAGCTGCACTATACAAAGTAAGAATAAAAAGACATGGTAATAACTAAATAATAAATATGCGATACACAACATGCTACTGTACTGACTTGACAGAAAGAAATCACAAGTTTAATTCCAGATTTGTGGTCCATGTACAGGCACGGGGTCAATAACCAGGTAGCAGTGAACACAGGCAAACAAATCGGTAATGTACTGTAATCCAAATACAGAGTTCAAGAACAGGCAGAGGTCAATACTTCTGTGCTGGGACTAAAACCAAATCCAATTCTCAAACCAAAAAACCGAGAGAGGAAGCAGGAGTCATTCATAGGTATCTGATCAAGAAACAATCGCTCAGTAGGGTGAAACACTCAGTGTTCAGAATAAATAAAAACATGCATGTTTGATGTATTCCATAAGTGTTGGGAATAACGTGGTTGATGTGCTTTATTGCTTTCTGGCCTGTTTATTGATAGCATGACCATTTGCGTTGGAACAGTCAGTTGACCAATTTGCAAAGCAGATACAAAACAACTATGACTGGGGTGGTAATAATTCTGCCTGAATATCCTAAAACAGAACACGCCAACCTCCAGCACCGCCTCTGAATCTCCATTGGCTCTACACCTGAAGGAGGTGGAGCCAGAGGAGAAGCGACAAGAATATCTGGTCCTAGTTTTCATGAGTTATTCATTAACCTAAAATCTAGTGCCTCACAATAACTTGCAGAATGAGGCTGTAGAAGAAGTAGAGGCGGATCAGCTGGAACTGCAGGTTTTGTGGGCTGGAGCACCCAAGCCGGGAGGGAACCATCCAAGTGTCTGAATCTCCAGCAGGTTTTGACGTGAGTAAGTATATTCATTTGGTGCTTTCGTGACTGAAGCTGATTCATATCTCTGTACCTTTGAGCACATTGCTTGAACCCTGCATTGGCCCAAGGAGATCTGGACTCTGCACTGCAATATAAGCTCTTTCATGGGGTCTTTCATTATGCACTGGTAGTTCAAAGTGCTGGGGCGTTAGTAGATTGGTACAAATTGAGATGCCTTGGGTCCTGTTAGCTTCTGCTGGTCCTGAGTATAAGAACATAAGAAATTTACAAACGAGAGGGGGCCATTCGGCACATCAAGCTCGTTTGGGGAGAACTTAACTAATAGGTCAGAGTTGTTAAAATCTTATCTAGCTCTGATTTAAAGGAACCCAGGGTTTTAGCTTCTGCTACACTAGCAGGAAGACTATTCCATACTCTAACTACACGCTGTGTAAAGAAGTGCTTCCTCAAATTTGTTTTAAAATGTTCTCCCACTAATTTCCACTTATGGCCACGAGTTCTAGTATTTAAACTAATATTGAAGTAGCCATTTGGCTGAATACTCTCATCGTTGTTCAAGGGAGGGTGTGATTATCCTTGAGCATAGCTGCTGACCAACATCGGTGTTCTTTTGCTTGCAACTGGCTGAGACACGTTATAATTCGCTGCTAGCTGCTGTTACTGTACAACAGCTAACCGCTCAGGACTATTGTGTCATTGGGTATAACGATAAAACATACACTGTACTTGACTCGATATTATCTACTAGATTTGTCTGATCGGCCTTACAGTACATTTTTGACCAATAGATTTTTAGAAAAAAAGTTTAGAGCTGCCCACCTCATTAACATGCAATGTGAAGAAATAAATAAATGAATAAATAAATGTTTTGTGAAAATGAATGAATGAATTAATCTTTCAAGGAAATGAATGATTAAATGAATTGTATCTATTTATTTATTCCATTGTTTAATTTATTCATTCATTTATTTATGCCAAGGATTTGTTTGTTTGTTTTTAAGTCACATTTCCCACCTGGGGTGTGAACTACTGTATGTTAGCAACTTGCATAGTTTGAACTAAGCAAATATGACACAGGAGTTTCCCGAAAACATAGTTCAAACTATGGAGGTAACGATGTTTCAGACTTACATAGTGCGATCTCCCTTTCCTGCAGTTTATTTAAATAATAACATTTCAGGGTAACTAAACTGCCTAAAATGTTTGTATGGAACGCCATAATACTCAAAATGAAATAAAAATATCTATAAATAAATGAATACATATTTCAATAACGTGCCATTTTATAATAAAATAATTTCATAAAAGGTATTATTTCATGTTTGTCTTTAAACAAGTGGACAAGTGAAGGGTCACCAAGGTCAGGAACAGACAGCAAGAGAGGAACCACAAACCAGGGAGAAGGGAAGGCCCGGGCACCGGGGCAAAAACTGAAATGAGGCCAGAGGGAACAGGGCTGGGCTAGAAGGACCTCTGGACCTCTGGACATGAGCCCACAGGACCAGGTGGAGCCAAGGGGACAGCATAGTTGGGGCCGGGTACAAGGGACACTGAGGGGTCTGCAGGGACAGGGGTTAGTCAGTGCCAAGGGGATAGCAGGGCCAGGACCCCAGGTGTACTCCCATCTCCCTCTCTGGGAGACAGCCACAACCTGCCCTCCTGCTGGACCCCTGTCAATACCAGGGACCACCCCATTGCCTGGGACAGTTTTGGCCCTGAGTTCTGGATGGGGGCCAGGGCCCCAAGGCGCAGGACCAGAGAAGTCCCATTCCAGGTCACCTAGTGGGGTGTCTTCCCTATCCACCCCCTTGGAGTGGACGACAGACAGGAATGATGGGTGCTGGGCTGGAGGGGGCCAGCAGGACGGGCCCCTCTGACAGCTGGTCAGGCTCAGAGGGCACCTCAGGAGATGGGCAGGCATCTTTGGAGGACAGAGCTTGTACAGCCCTGGAGTCAGATGGAGCTCAGCTGGGATCAGGACGGGTTCAGTGGGGATCTCACTGGGAACTGGTGAAAGAGCAGTGGCATCTCCTGGGCAGGGTGTTGGAGAACTTGCTTGCCTCTGTCGCTTTTCCCTTCTGCTCCTAGTAAGGAGGAGCTGTCTCAATCTCAGGAGCTGGCAGCAAAAAAAACAGCCGGCATATTCATGGCAAGTTGACCAGCCTGAGGACTCGCGTCTCACCAGCTCCTCAATTTCCCGTAACATGCATCCGATGATTTCGGCCTTTCGGACATCTGTATCCCGGGTGAGCTTGACCGATTCCTCCCCTGCAAAGAGGAGAACGGCCTTGGGAAGCTCCCAGAGTGCAACATTGCTCCAGCTCCCAGAGTGTCCAATCCACTGGGTGGAGGGTGACCTGAAAGCCATAGCAAGGGTGCATGCCACTGATGAGTTTTACAAGTCAAGTCATTCTGTCACATTCCGACAATGAAGGAGACAAGAGCAGGCATGAGAACAAACGATACAATAGCTGACTTTGGGGGAGGGGGGGAGAGATGTGATGTTGTTGAAAAAAGGTGCATTGTTATTCTCAGTGCAGTTTACTACACAGCCACCCATTTGTCATATGTCAAATACCTTTTGCATGTTTAACCCTCTGGGGTCTAGGGGTAGGGTACACACTTCCACTGACTGGGGCATGGTCACACATTTCATTCAGTATCATAAACTTAATTCATGGCAAATAAATGATTATCCTCCGTTTGACACGCCGGAAACACCTCCCCAGGGAGACATCCAGGAGGCATCCTAGGTAGATGCCCGAACTACCTCAACTGGCTCCTTTCTATGCAGAGGATCAGCTGCCCTAATTTGAGACCCTTTCAAGCTCCTCACCCTATATCTAAGGCTGAGCCCAGACACCCTGGGGAAAAAACTAAGTTCTCCTCCAAGTCTTCCAGCTGTACTTCAGTGGGATTCAGGAGGTCCCCATTTCCTCTGCAGTGAAGCATTCTTTTCTACTACCTGGCAAATCTGCCTTTATAATAGCAATCCGCCAAGGAGCAAGCACACCTGCCTCTTAAAGGGAATGGGAGATGACACTGATTGGTTAATAACATGAATAATTAGGAGACTTAGTAGAACCCTTCTGGGTCATATGCCTGGTGCAGCGATTATTTTTCTACCATTAAAATAGCAGAAGTGCGTTGGACATGCACTAAAAGAAGTTGCAGGGTACGCTTCATACTGTGCACTTCAGCTCATTAAAATAGGGCCCTATGTTTTCTAGGCATCTTGTTGGGGAGAAGGTGTTTCAGTGTATCACTGTCTCTCTCAGAGAAGCAGATCACTGGGGCTTGCTTGCAGTACCTTACAGACGCCCAGCTAGAAGAGATGGAGGCTGGGTGAGTCGGGTGATTAAGATGCCAAGATCAAAAATGCAGTTATACCAGTCTGTGGTTTTGGTGACTCATTTTTGCTGTGTGTGATCTCCTCTCTTAGCCCTATGTTGGACAAAAGACCACCAGGCTCTAAGGTAAAGCTGGATGTTTGCTCACTGAAGGGTGTGGTCAAAAATAAGTTTTGGGTTAGGTGGTCACAGAGGATCTCTTATTCTTCACAGGTGTTCAATGACTCAATCCATGGACACATTTGGTTGCACCCCCTGCTTGTGCGCATCATAAACACCCTACAGTTTAATAGGCTGCGTAACCTCAAGCAGCTGGGGGGTACATACTTTGTGTACCCGGGAGCCAGCCACAACCGCTTTGAGCACTCCATCGGGCAAGTTCACTTTCATAAATTTTTTTGTGTCTGATGTGTAAAATTCTGTGTTTCATCCTGTGTTTCATTCTGACCTGGCACACCAAATTCTTTAAAAAGCCTGATGTGTTTTTTTTCTGGCATTTACCTCAGTATTAAGCTTTCTCCTTTGGGAAATTAGCCCTAACCTAGTCGGTGCATGTTTACCTAAGAGTACTCAGATCCCCTGGAGGTGATGTCTGGCTTCCGGTTCCTCTTGCAGGGTGGCACACCTGGCTGGTCGGCTGGTCCGGGCCCTGAGAAAACAGCAACCAGAGCTGGGCATCAGCCCCAGGGATGAGCTGTGTGTGCAGATTGCTGGTCTTTGCCATGACCTGGGTAAGCTGTGCATGTTGTATGCGTTAGTGTCCGTTCCAGCTGCCCTGCTCTCTCTCCACAGCTGTGTGGGTTTTCACAGCAGTTTTATCATTATTTTGCTTTCTGGGTAAATTAGGATAATATATTGCTGAAAGATCTATAAGGTCTAAA